TTCTCAACTAGGCACTTCTATCTCAAGATGACTACATGCACAGACATAACAGGGATTATTGCAAATAACCCCATCACGACCAGTGACTCTTTATGGATAAACCAATTTTAGGGGTTTAACCTAGAAAAGATCATCTATTACACATCTTTATTTTCAAGCAGTGAAAGCTGGAAGGCCTAAATTTTGTTTTCAATAAACATCTATTTCATGATGAAATAACATTAAGTTAGTAACCCTATGACAAAAAGAACACTTCTGTGTTCATTTTTATAAGACTTTTTTCATAAGATTGTTACTTGTCAAACACTACTTGCAGATTCTTTTCTGAAAACCTTTCTTTCAATTTTCTGTTGATTAGCTAGAAAATGTCTTCAGTGTTGAGCACATGTTGCATTGATTTACTGTGTTGTGCCAAGAGGACTGCATTTGTGATTTGAAAAATGAGGGTTTTAGGCCTCTTATTCTGATTTACTTATTGGGCAAATCACTTTACTTCATGGAGCTTATTTCTTAAGTATAAAGTGGAAACATTTATAATTTCTTCATAATGTTACTGTTAGTTAAAATGAAGTAAATGTGAAATTAATTTCATAATCTAAATTGCAACATAAAGATGTAGTGATTTATTTTTAAATATAGGGGAACACAAACATGCATGAGCAATCTCCTTTGGAGTTCTGTATTCATGAACAGATTGTAGAGAGGCACCTACATTGGCAAGCTGAAGATGTTACCAAATAATTTTATGATGAATGCAGATGTTCAAGTGGTTAACGTAATAGGTGCATAATAAATGAGGATTAAGCCTGTAGTTAAGCAATTGTTATTTAAGCCTTGCTGCTGCAGAAAGAAAGGCTTTGACCTTGTGAAAGTCAAATGACCTTGTGGACTAAGTTGTAAAATAGGGACGTGGTACTCATTCAAGTTTTAACTCATGATATCTCCTGTAACTGCAGTCCAGCTCAGGCATGGAGGACAAGTGTCCTTTTAAAAGCCTTGTTTTGCAGCATGGCACTGGCATAAAAACAGACACACTGATCAATGGAATAGAATAGAGAATCCAGA